TTGGTTCCTTCTCAGGTTGCTTCAAGAGAACCACACAAAGGACTAAAGTAGCCTCAATAACTATATTCAGTAGCCTTAAAAGAAGGTCTGTAAATAATGTCAAGTTTCTCCTAAGTGGTCAGAGGGCAGCAGTCAGAATCAATACTAACTTACTGGTAACAAACTTTGGATAAGTTTCCCATGCATTCAAATTGTCATCCCTAATGATTCTCAGATATCAGTATCTTGAGGGACAGGATAGAGAGCCCAATGCCACAAGTGCCTCGTTGGAGGTACCTGGAGTTCTTGAAGTTTCTTGTGTAAGAGCTGGAGAAATACATGATAGGGAGGGGAGTGAACGCCTTTTCTTAGTTAGAGCTTTACTGTTCTTCTTTGAGGGTTTTCAGGTTGTGTGTGTGTGTTTTGTAGGGTGGAGAGAAGTGGAAAAGGCTTTGAGTCCTTCAGCTGCTTGGTAGAAAGATGACTTTGTCCTTTGCTAACTAGAATAAGTCCCTGAATTCGTTTTGATCTTTTGGTAAATTTAGCCTCCAATAGGTTTCTTTTCCATACACTTGTGATAATGTGTTTTGGGCAACTCCTTCTTATTCTGATGAAATCTATTGAGATTGTACATAATTTAAGTGGATATGGAGTGTTGATTTAGTACTTCTGCAAGTCACTCTGATTATAATTCTTGGAGGACATTTTATGGTTCTATTTCTAGTGTCTTAAAGGACAGAAAAAACATGAGTAGACTCACATGTGTCCCTCACAACATCTAGAATGACAGGCATTCTGTGCTCCCATTTATGTCCTGGTGCTGTTAAGGTCTCTCCATCAATGGTTCTCTGAGTTCAGGTCATGTCACCTTTGGCCTAGGCCTAATTTTTGATGACTGTCAGAAGAACGTACAGTTTTTTTTTCTAAACAGAACTTGAGTTGTTGTTGTTGTTATTGTTTTAATCTTTGTTTCTAGTTTCTTCACATTTAATAACCATTTAGAATTTGACTTTTTGCTTTTAGTACTGGGGTGAAGGGATTGGGAAACTACTGGTGGGGCTGCAACTGAATTTTTCATTACAGATATATTTTACTATGTGGGTAGGGACTCCCCCACACTCTCAAGCAGACCAAAATACTTTAAATGGAACTTATACTTTCCTGTTTGTCTCAGCCTTCATTACTTCTTAATGTTGAATTAGCTATTCTAGAGGAATCCAGAATCTTTTAAATTCTTTCTTTCAGTGAACACTTAAAAATGGTCTTGCATTCCAGAATAATTATAACTTGTCTTTATATTTGGCTTGGGACTTAGATGCTTTCTTGTGTAAATCAAATGATCCCTTATATTAAAATGCAAAATTAGCAATTATATAGTGCTTCAGATCACTATGAAGTACTTTTATTTGAGATTTTAAAAAATAAATGTAGCTCATTGGATCATTACGGTAATCCCATGGCTAAGGAGGTGGGGATTTTCCTGCATATTATGGGAGAGAAATAATATGGCATGGTGGTTGAGAGTATGGGTGGAGTCAGATAATTTGAGTTTGAATTTTATCTTTAGTATTACTAGCCTAGTCTCAGCTGATGAACCCACTCAATTTCCTAATCTGTACAATGGAGAAAGAAATACTAATTTTATAGGGTTGTATGGGAAGTAAATAATACAGGCAAAGCAATTAGAATAGTACCTAGCACATAGTAAGTGCTCAATAAATGTTAACTGCTGAAACTATTATTGCTGTTGGTAGTATTTAAAGAAACAGAAGTTCATAAAAGTTAAGCAATCTATCCAAGGTCACACATCTTATAGGCCAGAGAGCTAGGGCATGAACTAAAATTTGGAGACTTCAGTACTGGTTTTTGTCCACTATATTTGCTTCTAAATTTCTCATGCATTTGGGGAGGCTATAAATTGGGTCATCCTTTCTTTCATCTTTCAACTTCCTTATCTTCATTTTCTTCATGTTCTCCCCACTTAGAGCTGTTGGTTATTATCTGTATAGTCATGGAATCTATCTGTCAAAATTCAGCATAAGAGGGAGCAGCAAGGATAGGGATGTCCCTTGCCCTGCTGGTTGACTCTCCTTGACACAAAGATACTGAGAACTTCAGCAGGTCCCTCTGAATTCCAAGATGCTGATGTCCTTCTGAATTCTGTTCATAGAGTCTTAAAAATTTAATATCATATTTCTATTAATGTATGCAATTATTGCCACTCATCAGTACATTTAAAAAAATAATAAGCAGAAACTTCTCAATGTTCTGGCTTTTTTCCTCTTAAGAGGAAGAATACTTCAATTCTGGTGAATCTTATTTGCCTTTTCATAACCCTTTGAGGTAGTAAAAAATAGGTTACATTATCTTTATTTTGCTGGGAGAAATTGAAGTCCAATGTGAAAAAACACAAGCTTTGGAGTCAGGCAGATGAGGTTCAGATCCTGGCTCCTCCACTTTTGGTTATATATTTTTAATCCCCATTGTTCTAACTTGTATATTGTAGATAAGCAGAACATTGTTTGCAGGCTTAAAGGAGATAATGCTCACAGAAGTTAATGGCAGCTACTTGGCATACTTAAGAGCACACTGGCACTCAGTCAGTGTGACTGGTATTGCTGTTGGGGGAAGGTGACTTTTTACACTGGCCCAGGGTCATGATTAAGTGGGCACCCAGGACTCATCATCCCTCGCTGAATCCTGCATGTACTGCCTCATCTGGGTATGTAGTCCTTCTACATTTTAAATCCAAGCACTTTGACATTTTGGCTACCAATTTGTTTTTAATGTGCCTGTTATGGATGGGTCACTGGCTCTGTGTGTCAGCAAGCCAGGTACAGTGCCCATTACATCAAAATCCTGAGTTTACCTCAAGTCACAAGGCAAAGCTAATGTTAGTGAATCCACATGACCAACATGGAATATGACACTTGCAGAAGCTGTCAGATGGTGTTTGGGCAGTTATTCTTCGACAATGAAAAAAAGTAGCAGGTGTTTACTGAGTATTTCCTACATCCTCAACTTTGTGTGAGGTAGGGGAAACAAAAGAAACACTGTGCTTTATTCACCTGTTACAGGGCTCACAATTTCTGGGGAAAACAAATGTAATGGAAACATGATGCAAGGATATTAACACTATGATTCAGTTTGTATTCATTCAGTGGTCTCTGACCTAGGTGCTGTATGGGTTCTCATAGACTGGTAGATAAAGAGAGAAGTAAAACCACACTTGAAGCATGGTTCAATAAATGATGATAGAGTTATAAAGAGAGAGTGCAGAGCAGGGGCTATGTAGTGTGTGTGTGTGCATTTGGGTGGTGCTGTCGTTTCCAGGGGGAGGTGATGCTTGAGATGTTGACTAGTGGGGGATACTAGGGAGAGGAGTCTTAAGCGAGACAGATGGAAAAATTATACCAGTAAGAGCAATGAGAGATGAATATCCTGGGGATGACAGCAAACAGCATCTGTTCAGTACTTCTGATGGATGGACCTTGGGGTTTGTGGGAGAAGTAGTGGGAGAGCAATCTGGAGAAGTGAGCAAGGGTTGAGCCATTAGAGACTTTGCATACCATGCAGAGAAATATGAGCATTAAGGTATTGGTAACCAAGCAGACAAGAAGTGATATCAGTGTCTCAGAATGATTGCTCTAGGAATATCTTCAAGTAAGATAGGTGAGAAATAAGGGCCTGAGTCAAGTGTTAGAAGAGAGAAAAACTAAATGATTGAATATTAGTTTATTGAGTAAATACACTAATTGAATGTATAAATGAAGAATGGAATGAATGAATGAATAGTAGTGAATGAGTAAATAGATGATACAAACTATAAGCATTGTAGGAGTTGGAAAAAAGGGGACACTATGGCAGGAACAATCATTAAGAAAGACTCTATAGCTGGGCTCGGTGGCTCAGCCTGTAATCCGGCGCCTTTGGGAGGCTGAGGTGAGTGGATTGCCTGAGCCCGTGGGTTCGAGACCCACCTGGGCAGGCGAGACCTCATCTCTACAATAAATCAAAAAATTAGCTGGGCATGGTAGCATGCACCTGTAATTCCGGCTACTTGGAAGGCTGAGGCGGAAGGATCGCCGGAGCCCAGCAGGTCGAGGCTGCAGTGACCGGGAGCGGCCACTGCACTCCTGTCTGGGCAAAAAAAAAGAAAAAAAGAAAAAAAAGAAAGACTCTATGATGGAGAAAGATTTGAGTTGATCACTCAAGCCCAGTGACTTGTCCATAGTAGTTAGCCAATAAGCCAGACAATGAGTGGCAATAGGATTTATATAGGAGAAGAGACCGGAAGTAATACTATAACATAAACATGTGTGATATGGTTAGAGACAGATCTAACTGGGTAAGAGTGGCAGATAATACAATTTCGTATGCATATTGGTCCCAGATTTCGGAAGCCTTTGAAATGCTAGGTTGAGGGCTTTGAATTTATTTCAAAATTTTAAATTTGGATTTGAACAGTGTTCGTCTATCAGGCCTCTTCATCTTGGAGGAAGATGTGTCTGGTAAGATGACATTAGTTCTGATTCATATATTTAATAGAAATGCCAGGGAGACTGCATTACTTTTGGAAAGTATAATAAAGATGAATGGCCCCACTTTGGCTGTGAGTAGACTACAGAATAGTACACTGTTGAAAGACAAAGGAAACTGAGGCAAAAATGAATGAGTACCTATATGAGATTTTCACTAATACTAGTATAGAGAGGGATGAAATAAATGGAAAGATGGGAGTAACTGCTTGCCCTATGGAATCTTTCAGGGATAGCAAAAACATTACATGCACAGTCAGTATCTTATCCCATACCTGTCTCAGACATTGACAATTGGTCTTGGTATGTTTTCCCATCAGTCTCAATGATAGTCTGGAACTCTTGTTAACCCAGTGCTCCAGGCAGCTACCATTGATCAGAATTGGCACTGGAATTCAAACCTATTTGCCATGTCTGAAGTAAGAAATAAATGAGAAGTAGATTATGGCTACTTATAGTACAAATAAATGTTTACCTTTCTAGGTGGAACTTGCAGAAATCTGCACCAAGAGTGAGCGTTACATTGGCACCGAAGGAGGAGGCATGGACCAGTCCATATCATTTCTTGCAGAAGAAGGAACTGTAGGTGGCTTTCCAAATAGGCACTATTTGAAAATATTAAGTAGGAAAAATTCACATGGAGAGAAGGGGTTTGAGCTCCCTAGCATGCTTGGTCATAGGTAGCCTGTTATATTAGTCTTTATAGTAGGATGTTATTTCCCAACGGCTTTGTAACTCAAGGCTATCAGCAGTTAACTTATTCTATTTCATGTTGGTCGCCTTTTCCTTAAGCTCCAAGAATCATACCCTAAGTATGTTTTTTTCATATGTCTAGTTTTTCCTCCGTTTTCTATTTTTCTTCATTGTTAAGATGAGATTTCTCAATTCCCTAGTTATTGGGACCGCATTTCCCACTCTTGTCCTAAATCACTTCATCTCATGGCATTTTCATAATCTTATGTTGGTTTTAAACCCAAATGTTATTTCTCTTACCACATATATTCACAACCTCTCTTTTTATAATTTTCCTCTGTGGTATCATTTTCCTCTGTCAACATTTTTGGGGCTTTAGTGGTAGAAAAAAGAATGTTGGCAGTAAGCCAGGAATAAATTCCTTTGCCTGATACCACTTCCCCTTGGCTATCAACTCCTTTAGGCAGAGCAGAGGTTTCGGTTGTTGCCCATAAACTGTTCATTTTCAGAATAAAGCAAACATTTCTTTAAAATATTTTCTTAGTTTTTCATGAGATTCCTTCATGCTTGGCTGTTTTCCAAGAACACCTGGATTTCTTCTTCTTAAGAATGTTTGTTGTTGATTCCCCTAAGCCAAAGACATGGGGCATGAGGAAATTTGGTTTAATACTAAGAAAATTCTCCGGGTGTTTTGGATGAGATATGAAAAGCAGACATGAGGGCAAGAGTCCTGATGTTAATGTAAGTTAACTATAGAGTCTGAACAGAGTTCAAGTTCTACAGGTTTGCAGAGCTCTTCACATTGACCTCTGCTTTACCTCCTCATCCTAACCTCTCACCACTTCTCACCCCTCAGATTCTAAGCTCCAGACAAATTGCAATAACCAGAGCTTCATTAACACCCTACGTTTTTTGTCACTTCTGGACTTGCATAGACTCTTCCCTCTTCTTAACATCATACTTGAGTAAAGAAACTCTCTGTCTGCCCTACTCTTGTTCATAATTTAGGACACGGTTTAGATTTTCCTTTTTCAGAGGAGCAGAGCCTATAATAAGCTATATCTGATCTGATGCTTCAACTATGTGTCTCTATAGCAAATCCTGTGCTTTGCTATCATTGTAACACTTACAACTAGGAAATGTATTTGTCTACTTGACTGTCTTTCCTGCTAGATTGTAGGCTCTATGAGAGCAAGAACTGTGTCTGTTTTGTTCATTCTTGTATCTCCAGTGTCTAGTACAGTGCCTGAAAGTCAGTACATAATATTTGAATGAATGAATGCATTTTGACAAAATACTTTGTTAAGGTAAGTAAATGAATAGTTAAACATTTTCTGAATACTATTAAATTATATCTCACCTGTCCTTTTTTTTCCTAATAGGCCAAGTTGATAGAATTTGGTCCTTTGAGGGCAACTGATGTGAAACTCCCAAGTGGAGCAGTGTTTGTGATTGCCAACAGTTGTGTGGAAATGAATAAAGCAGCAACTTCCCATTTCAATATCAGGGTAATGGAGTGTCGGCTAGCTGCAAAGGTATGAACTATGGCAAAACTAATGGAACTTGAAGTATGTTTTTTCTTGTCCTTGTTCTCTTTTTTCCTATTACTTTATTTCTTTCTCTAAGTTTTGGGGCATCATTCTGACACAGCAACATTCTAACTGAAGGTCTTTGGGTTCAGAGCAATCTGATTTCAAACTCAGGAGAAAGATAAACCAATAGGTGTGCCCTCCAACACCTAGCTCTTTGAAAGCTATATGAACTTCACAGTTGAGTCTTCTGGGGTAGCATTTGGAAGAAAAGGACAGCTTATATCTGTGAAGCACAGGCCGTGGGTTAGGTCTATGAGTAGAGAAAGAGAGTTGGAGGCAACTGATGGGAAGTGACCACAGTCTTGTTTCCTTAACAAAAGTGATGGCAGCCTCACCTCTCCTGATCCTCCCCACTGTAGTTTTTATACGGGGCTATCACTGGTCATTCCAAAAATACAGGCTTGGTGCAACCCCTCTGTGCCAAGAAAGATGACTTTTATATGTCTACTAGGGAAACAAACCAGAAGGAGTCTTGGCAAGTATCTTTTTAGAAAGCCCTTGCAGTTAAGCCTTACATTGATTTTGGTAGTATTCACTAAGTAGTTGTTGTACTGCTGGCAGCATGAAGATATACAAAGGTGTTCAGGACATAGGAGTAGAGAGAGTAGACAATAGAGTGGAGAGTTAAAGTTAAGGGGATACAGACTAGGAAATGGTTAGTATGTGATCAGGCGATAAGTGATAAAAAGTGACACAGAAATGAAATGTTTTGGAGAATCCAGAGTGGCCCATAATGTGACTAGAAAGTTGGAGAGAACTGAATAGATTTTGAGTCAATAGCTCCACTGTGCTTTCTTCTACTCTTGTTTTGATCTCCTGATAGATACTGATGGGTATCACCTAAGACTCATGATCACCCACCTTCACCAGGCCCTAAACACAGCCTGAAATCTGTCTTCTCAACAGTAACAATTTCAGACCTTTATTTCTCTTAAACTCTCATTACTTGACTCTGCCAGGCTAACTTCCAAAAGTGATCTGATGATCTTATCCCATATTTCTTCTTGGAAACAGATGTGGTCGCACAGGGTTTGGCTTCCTGCCACCCTATCTGCATAGCTCTCTGTATCTGCCTCTCCTATCAAAGCCAACCCTTCCACTGTGGTTGCAGAGAACTTACTCCAGCTTTAGTTTGTCTCTTGTTCCTATTTCTCTACTGAATCCTTTCTATTAGACTTCACATATTTTAGTTTGTTGCATTAAAAAAGTCTACCCTGCACCTCACAACTCTCTTCAACTACTATTTATATTTCTTTTTTTGAATTTGTGAATTAGTTTGATTTAATCATTCCACAATATAAACATTCATTGAAACATCACATTGTACTCAATACATATATAATATATGCAATGATTATCTGCCAATTAAAAATACAATTTTAAAAATTAAACATAAGAGAAATTAATTTGGAAGGAACTCTGAGGATAACCAATCTAATCTCTTATCGTCTAGCTGAGGCACTAACAACACTTTAACTACTTAAACACTTTAAGCAATGAGGAATTTAGTACTCTCTGATGAACTACTTTTCATTTTTTAGAAAATTTTATTATAACTTATTTATTCATTATAGCATTGTGGGGTACAAGCAAAGACTTACTACATAAATAGACTGCATGCAGGTGAGGTTTGGGCTTCTAGGTGGCCCTTACTCCATCTGGTAGTAGACCAGGTACCCATTGAGTGGTCACGTGCTTCGCTACTCTCCTTCCTCCCTCCCTCCCCTAGCAGTGTCCAGCAACTGCTCTTTCATTCTCTTCCCTGCTAAATTGCTCAAAAATTGCTCTACATATGTCATCTTTACTCTTAGTTCCTTCTCATTCCTTAATTTGCAAAACTCTCACTTTTCCCTTCTCTGTAATACTGAATTTTTTCTTAGGCCACTGATGATTTCATTTGATTGTTAAATCTAGTGGACTCTTTTCGGTCTTTAACTTATTCCTCATTATTACCCCCTTATTTTTCAACAAGGTTAGCCAATCACTTGAAATAATCTCTTCTGGCTGGTCTAGGTGGCTCAGTTTGTAATCCCAGCCCTTTGGGAGCCTGAGGTAAGTGGATTGCCTGAGCCCGAGGGGTCGAGACCCACCCGGGCAACTTGGCGAGACCTCATCTCTGCAATAAATCAAAAATTAGCTGGGCGTTGTAGCGCTTACCTGCAGTTCCGGCAACTTGGAAGGCTGAGGCAGAAGGATCGCCAGAGCCCAGCAGGTCGAGGCTGCGGTGACCGGGAGCGTGCCACTGCACTCCAGCCTAGGTGCCTAGGTGCCAGAGTGAGACTCCAACTTAAAAAAGAAAAACAAAGAAAGAAAGAAAAAAAGAAATAGTTTCTTCCTTTAGTTTCCAGAACACTTCCCTTCTTGCTTTTTTTTCCTTATATTTTTCTAGCCAAGCACAGTTAGAATGATGCTTTACACATTTAAATCAGAGCAGGTAATTACCCTGCTTAACACCTTTCAAATGCTTCCCAGTTCAATGGAATAAAGTAAAAAGCCCATCTTACCACCTGGAAGGCTGCCAGATCTGAGACTTGTGCACCTCATCCTCTTCATCTCTTAGCATCACCTGCTACTGTTACACTCCAGTCACAGCACACTGTCATCTCAGGGACTTTGTGCATGTCCAGGATATTCTTTCCTCATCCTTCTTTGAAGTCTGGGTGTAAATGTCTTTCAGGGAAGTTCTCCTTGACGTCCTTACTTCTAGACTAGGGTAGAACTCCCTTTATATTTTAAAGCACTTATATTTCTCAGTTATGGTATTTATTACAGTTGTCTGTTTCATGTCTACCTCTTCTTTCAGGTTCTATTTTACCTGAGAGCTGAGACTGTGTCCACCGTGTTAACTCTTACATCCCTAATGCTTGAGGTAGTACACAGGCTGAAGTAGGTTCAGGACAAATATTTGTTGAATAAATGAATGACTAATCCCTGTCTTACTTGCTCTGTTCTTTATTTTGCTCATTTTCACTTTTTTTTTTTTTTTTTTTTTTTTTACAAATGCTTATTATGGGCCCAGGACTGGCCTAGATCCGGTGGAGACATGTAAGGTGTAGTTTTCCCCTGTGCCTGACTTAGCACTTCTCTTTTTCCTCCCATCCCCTGAAGTTGGGAAGTGGGAGAGGGGGTGGGGTATGATGAGCCAAACTTTTTTTCTTTTCCTGGAAAATTTGGTTTCAATTTGGTTTAAATGTTTTAACTTTGCAATTTACTCATTAGGATAATTTCTAAATATTATGTAATAGAAATGTTTTAACATTAAACTCTTCACAGTGTCTGATCAAGGCATATATGCAAAAGAAGCAGTGTTGTACACTTTTCAATATCGAGGGTTCAATGAACATTTTTTCCTTTAGAACACACTTCCTCTTTCAGGAGATGGAAGAAATTAGTTTCTTATTTGCTTGTGGGCTTACTCTTGTTGATTTTTTATCTTGAGGTTGATGAGTAAATGTCTTCCTAAGAAGACCTCAAACATACACAATATTTTTTTCAAAGTTTTGTCATGAAATCAGATTTCCTCTACCAGATCCACAGGTGTGCTGAAACAAGTAGGAAGCACGTAAAATGGTTTCCTGTTGTGACCACTCTCTACCAAAGATGCAAGGAGAAAATGAGGAATGAAATTGTGATGCTGAATCTCTGCAGTACAAGTTACTGGGATGTAGGAATGTCTTTTGAGAGTTAACTAGAAAAAGGGCATCTCCTTTGGAAACAGTAGTAGCTAAAGATCTTAATCCACTCCAGAACCTTCTGTTCTTGAGGATGTTTTCTCAGTTTAACTGCATAACTCCATATGCAATTTAGAGGTACTTTGGTCAGCAAAATTGGCATCTGAATTCGGCTTTTTGCCACACACCCCTCCCAATTGACGTAGATAAAGCACATTGTTTTAAATACTCTGAATTTTTCTCTTTTAAAATGTGGAAGAAAGAAAAATGAAAGACTTTATCAAGATGGAGAATGTTTTCTAAATCAAGTTGCTGCAGATCACTAAAATCCAATGCTCTGTACAAAGGGGAAATGAAGATAAAACTGCTAGTATGGGTTTCACTCAGAGATGTTGATGTTAGGAATGTGCTTTGTTTAGGAATATAGGCTGGGATTCTACTAAGCATTTTTTCTTTGCAGTATGGTTCCATTCTTCCATTTTTGGCAACATGTGAATGAATATAATTTTTGTTTGAAAAATGGACTCATTTAATAAGGAAATAAACTCCCATGTAAAAACAAAAGGTTAAAAAAAAGGTTAAAAAAAAAGCTTATGTTAGTCTGAACAAGCTTTCTGCTTTCAGACATTAATAACAAAGTGTCAGTTTGAGAATGGCTAATTAGGATAGTTTTGAAAATAAGATTGATTTGTTAGGGCTCTGTGTGGAAAAGTTGTAAGGAATAATGTTTAGTTTATCTCTCCTCTTTACTTCCAAGATTTTTTTTTTTAAATGAGTGCACTTCATATCTAGTTAAAACAGGGAAATACACTAAACCAATAAAGACAGTTTTTATTTGTTTTACTTTAATGTTAAAAATTTCTTCTGTTTTCAAGTTTCCTTTCTCTCTACCAGTCTTCAAAAACTAATTGATGTAGATTCATTGCAAGTCACAGTCTTATAGAGCATTTGAACTAAAATTAAAAATATTTCAAAGCAAATTCAATAGAGATTTATAATTATTACTTGTTTAAACGATGCTTTTAAGGGAAGCACATTTTTATGCTCTTAAATTAACAAAGTGGCCAGGGATCTTTAGTGGCGTAACATTTTTCATATTTTACACATATTTAGTGGCTTAAACATTTCCAGAAATGTTTTATGTCTATAAAAGAGAGTATCCCTTAATTGTATTGAAGAATAAAATGTGTGATGCCCATAGTAAGTATTATGGGAATTCAAGTAGAAAGGAGAAATTGTACTGTTGCTTTCTGCATACCTGACCTCTCTGTG